ATATATACCAGTCTTAATTAAGTCATTAGCCAGCAGCCTTATCCCTACACTTCCAGCTGGGTGAGGCAGTTCCTTTACTAAGATATCTCGTTCATAATTATTTAGATCAATTGGAATATCAATCCTGTTATCCTCTCGGCCTTTCTTTAGCCAATACCACTGAGCTCTTTCCTCTATTATTAATTCAATAGGCGCTTTTCCCGCCAACACCATAAGAGCCGCCGTAGATGTAGTCTTAAAACACCTTGTAAGCTTCAAAAGAGCAGTCCTTTGAGCCTGGCGAAGACACCTCATCTGATTTGTATTTCTGACCTTATCACTACACACTGAAGCTGCATAAGTTATTATTGGTATGAACATACCAGGCGATTTAGAGAGTACAAAAAGCAAAGAGATGAGTCGTCTGTATGGATTAATAACGAGGCATCAGTTTCCCAACCCGGCGATTGCAGGTGCGAGTCCCGTCAAAGGCAGGATTTTGCAATTTATGCGAACACAATTCCTATACTCTGTCATAGGTTTTCGTCCTGGTTGCGAAAATGAAATGTCTCTAGCTTCGGAGTTGCGCAGTAAATGTTCTCAGGTGCAGAAGACATACGCTTTAATAAACGCATGTAAATAGTTTCTTAAATAGCCCTCAACTACTATGGTGAGGTCAATTTAGACCCTAAGCGTGTTACTTAAAAATTTCCAGTTTGTCACTAGCTACACCGCCCAAAGTTCTGGTATGTTCATTTGACTTCCAGATCTCGTTGCAGATGGACGGATTCTCTCTTAAGTGCCAAATTTTTCAAATATAAGCATGTTGGGTCAGAATTGACCCCACGATAGCAGTTAAGCGACTAAATTTTTATTAAACAACTGTAAATATATCGCCGATATCCACCATTTTAGAGCCAGAGATAACGCTCTCCTGCTCGACTTCCTCACTTCCAGTGGCGTGCGGTGGCATTTAATGATAAGGAAGCTGTGTAGGCCAAGGATAGAATCATTGTAAGCGTTATACGATATTTTTGCGTGTAGCATCCACCACCTAAACCGTGTGAGGTTGGTGGCCTGTAAAGCGCCTACGCGAATTCGTATAATCTGGTTGCTTTACACCATTCAAATATTTTGGTCGTGAAAGCTATCCCATATTCGACAATATGGCGCTTCCATTGGGAAGATGTATGAATTTATATCTGCGAGATGGCGCGGAGCTATGGCGAATTGGTCGTTTGAGTGCCTGTTCTTTTTGAAAACATAAAGTTTTGGAATGTGACTCGTTAATCTGTTCTAATTGTTCAAAATTTGCTCATTTCTACTGTTTGTTTGGAATCCAGGCAGCTAACTTTCGTAAGTTTAGTAAGCCTTACAAAAAACTTGGAAATGCAGAGATTGTAAATTGGTGAAAACTATTAAGAACAATGTAAATTAGACACAGGAATTAGAAGACGACAGAGAATTGGGTAAGTGTGAGCAAATTATTATGTCTTCACATAATTATAATAAGAATGTGGATAAAACACCAGATAATCTAATTCTCACTCCAACGTCGTTCATATGTTCAGACACAAAAAATTTCGAAACGATTCTACACGAAATGAAACTGATACACTTGGAGCTGGGTAATATAAATGAAACGAATATAGAAATACAGAAGTCGATAGAATTCTTAAGAAACGAAATTTGGCATGGTATATTGTGTATAATCGGAAATAACTTCCGACTTATTCTGTCCAAAACTTGTACCTGTTATACAGAAACTTTAACAGTTTCTTTGTTTGAATTCGTGACTTTCTTTTCATGTGTCTTCTCTGTTCCCACCCAACCTTAACCAGACTTTTCGTTCAAATCCATAATTCATACGTTCTGCAAATAAATAATAATAATGATAATTTTTATTATCTTATCTTCCTATTTAATAAAAGTAATTAAGGGAACGTGTCACGTGTCACGTTTTATTCACTGTTTGAAATACTAGTACTTTGTTGATTTACTGCAATACAATAGCATAAAATTTGAAAGATTTCTGAAATGTGTGGATGAATACAGAGTTGATGAAGTAATCGGCCTTATTACTATACTAGCATTAAGTGAAAACGAATATGATTTGAATTGTACATAAAATGTCATGTGACTTGACCAAATTGTTTGGGTCGCTTGCCTATAGGAGTGACAATGTCACTACTTTCGTTTCTGCTAATCGCTAAAGCAGCGTGTCGAATTTACCAACAAGTAACATTTACTCTACGATATGCTCCAGGCCTTATTCTAAAAGTCTTATTTCCTTCTGCACAAATATCAATTCTGTTTAGCGAAGCCGAACGTTAATAATCTATTGTAAAGACAAATGAAAAATAAGGACAATAAAACAAATCTTATATTTCATAAGTATTTATTAATTTCAATCACAGTCCAATCTCGATCGTTAGATATGCGCACTTTACACTGTGCGCCTCCATGTGATATAATTTACTATATAATAAGTTCTCTGTGATTGTGGATTATAGTTTAAATAAGTTTCAAAGTTTTAAGATATAATTTTTTTCGATGAAGTGGTGACATGTGTGAAATAAATGTAAATAATTTTTAAAAAATGATTTAATCATTATCACTGTGTTTGAGAATAACAAAAACAGCGTTGGCAACACTTGCAATTTTCTACCTGCAGTGCTACTTGGTTAGTTTGAATTATATTGTATTTAAGTAATGCATAAACCTTCGAAACGCGAGGCCCTTCGGACAGCGAGGCACAGGAGGTGGCCCACGTTGCCCATGCCTTATGCCGCCCTTGGTAATAGAAATGATGTAATTTGAAAATAAATTATTTATAAATACGTATGTCAAGTTATATTTTTATTACGACGCAAAATATATTTAAGAGTTTACGGCCACTGTGCCGGGCGAGACGTTGTTGAAACAAAAAAGTTATGCATTCCATCACGTACATAAACAGTATCGTAATTCGCCAAGTGCAAATCAGCAAATTCGTAAAAATTTTGTTTATTTTGAACAATCCGGATAATAGAGGTCCGGATAATCGAGGTTCTACTGTATTTTGCTTCCGTTTTTCATCTTTCGTTCGCTTCAGTAGACAATCCACAATTTCACAAGTAAGGTCGCCTCCCTGTTTGTGAAGTTGTGGATTGTCTACAGGAGCGAACGACGGATAAAAAACGGAAGCAAAGTAACTTTATCTTTGTTAAATGTTGCAACTTTATTTATACAGTTAAGTGTAATGAAATTAAATGTATTACCGTCGGCCATGTTTTTACACTTTTTATTTTACTTAAAGTTTTGTTTGTTCAATATTTCTATTTGCAATGAACGATAGTTTTACTAAAACGTAGCATGTTCGATACTCGTTTAATTCTTTAGTACTTTTTAGTACTAAAACAAGAATTAAACGAGTATCGAACTTGTTACGTTTTAGTAACTTTCGATCTGGCAACACTAGACATTTGTTGAGTTCGCGCCGTTACTACCAATTTTTAGTTGACTTTGATGCATGAATGGCAGCATTATCCTGTTGGAATTGCCAATTTTCTCTCCCAATAAGTGATCCAAAAGTTATTAAATTTTGATACAACAGTTCTTGATACAATGGAAACAGGAGGCCTTAAAACTGAAAATAAAAGCCTCAGTCGCTGTCTCTAAGTTCAAAAAATGAATCGCCTCGCCTGCGAATGACTCGCTCGGCCGGATGGCCAAGCGATGAAGGTGGCAGCCTACCGCTCCGGGGGACCCGGGATCAAATAATCCCCAGAATTTTTTGGGGGGATCCGTCCGGATATGTCGGGCCCCGTCCCTTACCACCCAGTCACCCCATTGTGGGCCTGGCCGAACCCATAATTGGCTTGCAAAAAAGAGGTCCTCTTAGTGCCCACAGGACGAAAAGAGTTAAAAAAAAAAAAGAATGGCTCGCTTTGATTTAGAGAAAATGCAGATACAACGAATGTTCATATATATATATATTTCAATCTTATTTCATTAGTAAAAAGTGCATAGTTTCAAAATAATTTATTTTTATTAGTGTTGTAACGAATAGTATATTCGGCCTCAGGCCGAATACCGAATATTCGGCCAAACTATTCGGCTTGATTAACGCACGTACGAAAATTGGCGCGCAAACCGCATTATGGCAAGGATCCTGCTCTCTATTGGCCCGCTGTCGCTACGCTTCGCCAATCGCGTTATTAATTCTTGGCAGTTGTAGCCGACAGACAAGAGTGTCATGGAAGTATGTGATAAATGATGATATCAAATGACCTACACTTATAAATAACGGAAAAAGAACAGAGAAGGACCGCGAAGTGAAAATATGAAAATAAATATGAAATTGAGTCGATAACATAATCGAACAAGTCGAGGCAGCTTATTGCACGAAATTCGCGTCCGTCAATGACAAACAATTGTTGTCATAGACTTCGAAAGCTAAATGCTTGTAATGAAAGTCACTTAGCGTGCACGGGCGAAAGCCTGGGGCCGTTCGGGCTATCAAGCTGTCTCGAATCTGTGAAATCATAACTGTGACTTATATCGACGTCCTATCTGTCTCTTTTCTCCGTTATCACCAGGCTATGAGTCACATAATTGTAAAATGGGAAATCTACGACGGAAAAGTGACGAATCGAAAGTATCGTGAGCGCGTATTATGATGTATGCACAGGCATACGTGGATTAGAGCGATAGAAGAAAGGGAAAGGGAAGAGCAAAGACGAGCGCTTAAAAAGAAGGATAGGCAGGGTCAGACCCTCAGATGTGCGAGGATTCTCGAACGAATAGGTATGTACGTGTGCTGATCTTTATAATTATAAATTGTGAATACATGTGACTAATATTGTTTTCTTTTTTATTTTGTGCATGTTTCAAGTTATAAATAAATATAAACAAACAACACTAACTCGATAACATTAAATCTAAATACCAAAATAATGAATTTACTGTGTTGTTGTTATTTATTACTCCTGCTTTTAGGTATTCGGTATTTGGCCGAATAGCGAAAAATAGGGCGAATAGGCCGAATACCGAATAGTAACCGAATATTCGTTACATCACTAATTTTTATTGTTTGGGCTACAAACAGTTCAAATCCGCTACTTTTGAAGCACAACCACGCTACTTTTTAACCATCAGATCTGGCAACGTTGGTCGGCGGGACGCTAAAGCCTCGAAGCAGGCGTCCAACTTCCCACATTAATAAGAAGAACAAGGCGATTTAAGTAGAGGAAGCGGAGAGGTGGTGTGTCGGAGAGAGAGAGAGAGAGCCATTATTGTGCTAAATTCTCCATATAAACACTTTTAAGAAGAAGATAACGGGAAAAAATGGCAAACAGAACGGTGAAAGATGCTTACTCCATAAGAGGAACGAATCCTCAGTATCTTATAGAGAAGATCATTAGAACTAGGATCTATGATTCCAGGTATTGGAAGGAAGAATGCTTTGCTCTTACAGGTAATAATGTCAACATGTCATAATTAATGCTTCTTATATTTTTGTTTAATTATTAAAATTTACGATGTAATCTGAGCTTTACTAAATTTCTAAAATATATTTCAAATTATGTATGCACAATAAGAATATATACACGTAATTAGCAAATGAGAATATATCTTATTGTCATTTGAGTTAATGTCTAGATACGTATACCGTCATGGCGGCTCATCTCTGATTCCAGGAAACAAAGGGAAACGGTGGGGACGCACGTTCTAACCTAACCTAACCTATTCTAATAAATTACCATAATTATTATTAACCAAATTATTAGAATAGGTTAGGTTAACTTAGAAGGTGCGTCCCCACTGTTTCCTTTCTTTTGTTTGCTGGAATCTGAGATGAGTCGCCATGACGGTACAGGCATCTGGACATTAAACGTCATTTGATATTTATGTAAGCTATATACGTTTTATGCATCTATAAGTATGGTTCGATTATAAAACTCAATAGGGACATGTTAGAATATTTTTAATTTCTGTACCTTGCATTTTTCGGGCATCAATATTTATACACCCTTTTGTAATGATAATTACAGTTATAATTTCTTTATGTGTACAAAATAAACTTACTTTTAAATAGATTAGGGTTTTTTTTTAGTTACGAATTAGAAATCAATTAGTATGTATTCAAGATGAAAATTTGGAATGTTCTCTGGATCAGTGTTCTGCAACCTTTTTCTACTTGCAACACANTTTTTGTGTACAAAATAAACTTACTTTTAAATAGATTAGGGTTTTTTTTTAGTTACGAATTAGAAATCAATTAGTATGTATTCAAGATGAAAATTTGGAATGTTCTCTGGATCAGTGTTCTGCAACCTTTTTCTACTTGCAACACACCCATTTAACACAATACACCGAAATGTTATTACCCTAAAATACGTATGATATGATACTATTAATAGAATTATATAATGTTACTAACCTATTATCATTATTATTATTATTGTGTTGGGTTTAGTGGGTTACTCGGTTCACACCGGTGGCTGTGTACTATGCCGGACCAGAGTCAAGGCATAGCAACCAAAACAAAACTAAAATTAAATGTGTGTGTCAGTGTCTGTATTAAGGAATTTCCTAACAATATGGCATGTATTCAATATAGTGGCCTTCTGTAGTGTGATGTATGTATTTCTACTCAATTGTAATGTTCCCAGGCTTTTGTGTAGTGTGTGTGGTATCACACCTGTACAGGAGAGAACAACAGGTACAATAAGCACCCTATCCATCCTCCACAGATGCCTTATTTCCTGGGCGAGTTCTGTGTACTTGCTAATTTTTTCAGTGCATGTGTTTTGTACATTGTGAGTGTTTGGAATGGCTATGTCTATAATGTATGTGATTTTATTGTGTTTGTCAATGAGTGTGATGTCTGGTCTGTTGTGGTAAATTGTTTTATCTGTGATTATGGCTCTGTCGTAATACATTTTGTGCGTGTTATTTTCCAATACTGTCTGTGGAATATACTTGTAGTATGGTTCGTGGATGTCTGCCAATTTGTGTTTCTTTGCAAGCTCTTGGTGTATTATATTTGCTACTTGATTGTGTCTATGTAAGTAATCTGTCTGTGCCAAGAGCTTGCAACCAGAAGTGATGTGTTGTATAGTTTCTGGCATGATGTGACATTTTCTGCATGTGTCATTTGTGAGTGTTGTATCTTTGAGTATGTGTTTTCTGTAGTTTTTAGTATTTATGACCTGATCCTGTATGGCAATCATGAATCCTTCCGTCTCCCCAAAGAGGCATCCCCGATCTAACCAGCTGTTTGACGCAGTTTTGTCAACAAAATCCTGGGCCAGGTCGTAAGGATGCCTGCCATGGAGAGCCTTTTGAGCCCATGATTGCTTAATGTTGTCTATGCTTTTTATATGTTGTGTCATGTCTGTATGTTGTGAGTGTAAGTTTAATGGTGTGTTATTTGAGTCTGCTAGAGTTACTGCTTTATGTAACTGCGATGTTTCTTGTTACATGTAAAAAAACTCTCGCAGTGACTGTATTTGTTTGTAGTGAAGGTTAATTATGTCAATCAGGCCACATTCGCCATCTTTACGTGAGAGTGTCAATCTTTCTATGGCGGATTTAGGATGATGTTGTTTATGCTTAGTAAGCGTTGTTCTTGTTTTCCTTTGGAGTTGCTCAAGATCTGTGTGAGTCCAATGTATAACTCCAAAAGAGTATGTGAGTACTGGGATGACATATGTGTTTATTGCTTTAACTGTGTGTTTTGCATTTAACTGTGTTCTGAGAATAGCATTTAACCTAGTTTGGTATTATTTAATTAATCTTTGCTTTATTTGTGTATGTTCTGTTAGTTTGGCCTGTTGGAATCCTAAGTACTTGTAGAACTCGCCCTCTTCCATAGATTCAATGTTGTCTCCATTTCCAAGTGCAAAATCTTTTTTCTTATTACCTTTGAGGATAGATGACGATGGAGGTGTAAACTCCTGGCAGAGGAGAGGAGACTGGGAAAAGTAATGATAAAAATACTTAACTTACATAACATAATGTAACAATAACTTAAAAAAATTGGTGTTAAGTTATTTTTATTTTTTTTGTTTTATATATATCTTAAAATATTTTATTCACTGCTTTTTGCTTTTTTTCCTTTACTTCCACCAGCACTTTCACTGGATGGAGGTCGCTTGGTAAAATATCTATCCAAAGAGGTTTGGCTTTGCCTACTGTTTAAAATATTTCTAAAATGACTTAGGCAAATGTCATTAAACTGAGCAGCAATACAGCCAATGTGAACCTTTTTGGGATGTTTTTTTTTCAATAAAATTAATCATTTACTGATACCTCAAGATTTTCTTTACTGAGCGAGATCATTTCACAACAAAGCAAACACGCAGACTGAGACTGATGAACAGAAGGAACACGTTATCATGGTGGTGGTGACGAGATCTAATGTAACTTCATATGGTGATTTCTTTTTGTTTGTACCGTGTCATATCCTGAAAATTTTGTATGTTGAAGCGTTCGTATCCTGTGGTACTGTACTGCTGTAATTACAATTATATGTTATATTATATATAGTAAATTACATTGTTCCAGTGACATAATTTATATTTGTAGTGCACTTATCAACTAAGCATTAGCAATTTAGTTATAAATATAAAGAAATATTATAGAGATTAAATAAAATATACAGATAAAACAGCAAAACCGTATTTGGGACAAGACTATGTCTCGGAGACTCACTACTAAGTGGAATCACTTTGATGCTCAAGGTGGGTCTTGTTCTCGTTCTCCAATCTTCTTCGGTATTGCTGCTTTTTGGCGCGATTGTTCAAACTTTGCTGGCCACGACCACGAGGTCATCCACGATGCATTTTCGATGAAATTAACCTATCCAATTTCGAAATTTCTCTCCATTGTGTGTCTACCCGGGTTGAATTTTAGTCATATTGGTATATGTATCTTGAATCTTACAAGGGTTTGACAAAGTTAAATAGATAGCTAAATAAATAAATATAAATATATTTAAAAAAATTTGTTCAGACAAAAATAGAATAACAGCAGTAATGGAACTTTTTAGGGAGGTAACTGCTGTTGTGCATTCATTAGTGATACAAAATGAGCAATTAAAGGGTAGAGTTGAAAGTCTTGAAAGAGTGGCCTCGGGTAGGTCGGTGTAGAGTAAGTCATATGCAGAAATGGCTAGTAGGATTAGTATTCAGCAACCAATTTAGGAAGCAGAAAGTGTTGTGGTTGTTAAGGGAACATCGGACCAAAATGCTGAGGAGATAAAGCATAAGTTTCTATCTGCTATTGACTCATTAGAAGATAAGATTAGACTAACATTGTGAAGAAGACACGTAATAATAGCTTGTTAGTGTCTCTAGCTACAAATAAAAACAAGGAAAGAGTTTGTAGTCATGATAGGTTAGCAAAAACAGGGTTGAGTATTAGTGTTTTGAAAAAAAAAAAAAGACTTTGTATTTTAATAGTAGATGTGCCTAAAATTTTAGTACCTGGAGAGTTAGTTAAAACAGTATTTAATCTAAATGTGGATTTATTTTACACATTGAATATAGATCTTAGCAGTTTTAGTAGTGATTTCAAATTTTTATATCGTGTTAAACAGAAGAGAGTTACACTTGTAAATTAGGTTGTTGAAATCACCCCCAAGCTATGAAAGCAAATTTTACTTTTAGGCAGATTATATAAGTTGTTTAGTCCGTGATTATTTTGAAGTTTTAAAATTTTATAAATGTCAACTTTTTGGACATTTTGCTAAATAAATATATAGTGGTGCCTCGTATAACATACGTTTCGAATAACGGACTATCTGTTTGGTTGTTACGTGACTTGAGCAACGGACTTTCCGTTCGGCAGTTATGTGAGGCAAACAACGATATTTCTGCAAACAAGTGCGAATGATGTTTCCACACTTTTGCCGTTGCCATTGACAATCTGTTATTTTTATAATATATTAGTATTATTAGAATATATTATTAGTATATATGAAGTAGAGAGCTCTCATTGGGATTCGGATTGCTCCCTTGTTTATTACGTACAGTACATCACCTCAGTGCAAGGTATTTACATTTATTCNTGAATATAAAGAAATATTGTAGAAATTAAATAAAAATATACAAGTAAAATGGCAAAACCGTATTTGGGACAGGACTATGTCTCGGAGACTCACTACTAAGTGGAATCACTTTGACGCTCAAGATGGGTCTTGTTCTCATTCTCCAATCTTCTTCGGTATTGCTGCGTTTTGGCGCGATCATTCAAACTTTGCAGGCCACGACCACGAGGTCGTCTACAATGCATTTTCGATGAAATTAACCTATCCAATTTCGAAATTTCTCTCCATTGTGTGTCGGCCCAAGTTGAATTTTTTTCAGTGCGTAACAAAAATTTTCCATTTTTGAAAAAGTAATCATGGCTATTGTATCGTCCAAAATTATTTTTTTATTTTGCACAAACAATATACAGTTTAACTTGATT